CACAGCCTCAAGGTTGCCTCCTGCTGACCTCCTGCTCAGAACTCATCCTTTCTCAGGACGGCCAGTACCTAGATCAAAGTCTCCACTCCACAACAGCCCAAACTCATTAATGTCAACATTCACAGTGATGACTGTGGCCTCCCAGATCCCTGACCTCGCCCACTCCCATGCCCAGCATCTCCAAATAGGCATTTTCTGGGGGTCACCTCCTCTGGGAAGCCTTCCCTGATGGGAAAGTGCTCTCTCTCTGTCTCTGTCTCTCTTTGTCTCTGTCTCTGTCTCTTTCCCTTTGTCTCTGTCTCTCTCTGTCTCTGTTTCTGTCTCTCTGTCACACATACACACACACACACACACACACACACAACCCTGATGTGTAGTAAGTACTTCATAAATGCTGATTATATTGACTTGACATGAAGTGAATCGCCCCGCTGACCCATTCTGGCTTGGGGCTTCCTTAAATGGCTTCAGGGGACTCTGGGTTGCCCATCCCCAGCAGTCATTAATCTGATATCCAAGGCCCCACTTACTACAGCATCAAAGGTCAAATAAATCAATGATGAGCTCAGTGAAAGCCTCAAGCTTCCTGTCTCCCCTTCTTCCACATTTCCTCTTGTCTTAAAAAATGTCACTTAGAACATGTCTCCAGCTGGATTCTACTTCAAAGAAACTGAGGCAGTGCAAGATGGGGGGTTATGGGAGGGGAGGAGCTTGCATATTGAGGCTTACGTGCCTTGAATTTCTGGTGAATAAGGATGGAGCCCCGCCGCCAGCACCAGGCCTCCCTGCTGGCTTCTCTGCAGGGAATGGGCCAACCACCAGGGTCCCTGGGCCAGGGCATTCTGCCAAGTGCTCCAGCAAATCATTGCTGGGACAAGGAGAAAGCACAGGCCTCTCAAACACCTGTAAACGGCAAATACAAGAAAGGACAGGAGCAGGGAATGGGTGACCTTGCTTAAGGTCTTTCTCAAAATGCAAGGGGATAAAAATGTCAACTCTGAAAGGAGTGACCTCGAGAGCCAAAGAATTCCAGCGTTGGCAGGAGACCGTGTGGCACAAGCTGTCCCCCAAAAGCCCTCTCTACCATGGGCCTGCCAGATTCTCAGGCAGCCTGAGAACCAACTCCCAGGGCAGCTCACCCACACTGGGACAGCTTTCATCGTGAGCAAAGGTCTCCTGGGACCAAGACAAAATGTGCCCGGTCATCCCTTCCACCGTTTGCTCCTAGTTCTTCCCCTGGGCCAAGCAGAACAAGTCAATCCCTCCTCCATGTAACACATTGGGTGCCACATTCTAGGGCACCACCTTCTAAAACACAATCTTCTAGGGCGCCATATTTTAGGGTGCCATCTTCTAAGGCTCTATCTTCTAGGGCACCATTTTCTAGGGCTCTATCTTCTAGGGCGCCATCTTCTAGGACACCATCTTCTAGGGTGCTGTCTTCTAGGGCTCTATCTTTTAGGGGACCACCTTCTAGGATGCCATATTCTAGGTGCCATCTTCTAGGGCACCACCTTCTAGGATGCCATCTTCTAGGGCTCTATCTTCTAAGGTGCCACGTTCTAGGGTGCCATCTTCTAGGATGCCATGCTATGGAAGGGCCTTATTTGTAGATAAGTTAGGCTGTCATACTACAAAACCCTTTGAGGAGTAACTGTGGTAATTCAGCCCTAGGCATGGGGTCCACACACTAAGCCCCCTTTTCCCAAAGTCCATCGAGGAGGAAATAGCCCAATGGTTGACATTTTCTACATCAACAATACTTGTCACGTTTGACACTCTTTGGGGAGCTAAATTCTATGTTCTTGGCATAGGAGCACACATGACCAAAACTGCATCAAAGCTCTAAGCTGTGCAAGAAATAATCAATAAATAAATACTTATTAAGCACCTACAATGTGCTGGGCACTGTGCTAAGCTCACAGTGCAAAGCAGCCTGGCAACTTCCCATGTACAAAGGCAAGTCATTCCCTTCACTCATTCTATGAATGATACAGAAATAGGCAATTAGAAGTCTCAAAATAGCTTTTCAGGAAGAAAAAAATAAAAATCATGATTCACACATTGGCTGATGCCTTCACAGGGCACAGCTGCAATTTGTTTGTGTCCAAGAGCAAAAGATGAGAAGCCGAGTTGTGCGTGCTGCCATGAGAAGTGGTGTGCCCATGGGCATGTCATGTGGGCACATGGGCTACCATGGAAAGGAGGGCACAAATCCAACCTCAGTGTCACAGGAGCCTGAAGAAGGCATCTTGTGCAATCCTCTTACTTTACAGTGAAGGAAACTGAGGCCACACCATTTGAACAACAGGTTCACCTAGGGAGGCAGAACTCTGACCCTTGTCTGAGCTGAACCGTAGGCCATTGCCAGGCCCTGCCAGCCTGCAGGGTGCCATGATAAAGAAGTTAGCTGTGTATGTTTGTCTGCCATCTGAGCAGAGGGGAGCCCACTGTTCTCTAAGATCAGCCACTGTGAGAGGGGGCAGGGGGCTCTCTGGAAGATCAGGTGCCAGTGTCTCAAAATTGAGCTTGAAATACAAGAGAGAGAGGAAGAAGGAGGAGGAGGAGGAGGAGAGAGCACCAATTGATCTAGCCCACCCAGGACCACTGAGGTACAGCTAGAAAGGGGCGGATGCTCAAGGACAATGTCTCCCAGTCACCCCAAAATGGGAGGGGCCTTGGAGGCCAGCCAGTCCAACCCCTCATTTTACAGAGGACGGAGTGAGGTCCAAAGAGCTGGAGCTGACTCTCTGGGGGTCAAAGAGTCAGTTGTCCTGGTCATGGGCCTGGGGCCCGCCCCACTCTCCATCACTGATGAGCAACTCCGCCCTGAGCGTGTCTTGAAGTGAACCAGCCTCCAAAGTCTCTCCATACAAAGTTCACCTCCCAGCATCTGCTTTTGGAGCTGGAAAGACCTCGGAGGCTGCAGAGTCCCCCGCCCCCCAGGGGCTCTGGGAGCTGAGCCAGGGCGTGGTCCCAGGTGCTAGACTCTGGGCCCCAAATGCTCTGGGGACGCTTTGGACTCTGGAGCACGGATCTCCTCTAGCCAAGTCCCATCCCCCCAGCATGTGGTGATAGCAGTGTCAGCATCCAAATCTCTTGGTTTATGAAAAGAGCTCCGTGTCCCATGTTGTGAGGGAATGTCACAGCACAACAAACTCTTTGGTGCACAGTCTGAATCTGGCCATGAGGTGAGAATGCTGGACAGCCCTGAACTCAGGGAGGCCATCTCCAGGGCTGTGGGGGAGGCAGGATCTGCCTCTGTGCCCACCTAGATAGAACAGACCCGAGATTCTTGAGGAACCCATGGTTTGTTCTTCCAGGGATACCCTCGGCACTATTTCTCCCACACCGCCATGATTCCTGTCCCAGGGGACACTTTCCAGTCCAGTGCAGGCTGGGTTTGGGGTGGCACAACACAGGCCTGCCTCCTCTTCCAAGAAGGAGCCACGTTGAAGTCAGTAACCCAAGTGAAGATTCCTGCCCACTCTGGGCATCTCCGGTGCCCCAAGGGCTGAGGAGGAGCTGTCGTGAGAAGGACCGATCCTTGATAAGGACAAAAATGGAGGGGAGCTTGTCTCATCGGAATGTTCTGGCTCAGAAAGGAAGGCTAAGCAGCACTTCACCCGGCAGGGTATGGCACCTTGCCCTCCAGAGCTCATGTGGAGGAAGGAGAGGCACTAATTGCAGAGCCTCTCAAGAGCCTTCCTGTCTTGAGTGATTCAGCCATGGTGTTTTGCATTTGTAAACCATGGCTGGACAGGAGTCCAATGGAGGCATTCTGCTTGGCCCCTTCATGTGAGAGGAATCAATATGACCACAGGAGGAGGAAGAAAGTTGGGGCATTCTTGTGGAGGGCAGGTGGGGCCTCCAGGATGTGAACTGGCAGATAGAAGGGCAGAAGGAAGGAGGAAAGGTAGGAAAACAAACAACCCTGCAGAGCCAGGCAGGCTGGGAGCTGCCACAGTGGCCATCTCCCTGGTCTCCTTTGTAATTCCCAGAGCCTAGCACATAGTAGGCACCTAATAATGCTTGTGGATTGACCAGTGTGAATGGCCCAGAAGACAGGTCATGGGACTGAATGGGATAGACTTCTAGCCCCACCTCAATTTTCAGGCTAGGAAACTGAAGTCAGAAAAGTGAAGTGACTGGTCTAAGGTGACAAAGGCAGCTGGTAACTCCTGATTGGTCTCTCACCTTCTAGTCCTGCCCCTTCTCCAATCCATTCTACCCCCTGCAGCCCCCTCAATATTCCTAAAACCCAGAACTGGTTGCGACAACAACCCTATTGATTCTATGGCAAAGTACAAAATCTTCAGATTGGAATTTAAAGCCATTAAGGGACTTTTCTTTCTGTTCTTATTCCCCTTCACATGATGCCCAGTCTAGTTTTCAGATTCTAGAGTGATTCTAGATTCCACAGGACCATACTGTCAACTGACATTCTGACGGCTCTAAGCACGACAAGCAGAAAGCAGCGGGGACTCATGCCGCTGGCGGCCCACGTCCAAGACCCAAGACAAGTTACTGTCACAGGCTGGGCTTTGGGACAATTCTCCTGAATGTGCCGCTGGCCTTCCTCCGTGTAAAGGCTTGAGAGAAACAACATCCCAGGACCACCCCGGCAGAAAAGCTGGGCTCCCAAAAGGCATCAACCCCCTTATCTGTCCTTGCCTGGAGAACTCAGAACCCTGTTTCGGTCCAAGCCCCCAGGACCTGAGTCCACTGGACCTTGGCTGTCCTTGGCCATGGATCATCTCAGAACGCTTCTTCTGTCTCCTCTAGGAAGATAGGAGCCCCGCCCTACGATGGCTACATAGACCACGCCTCAGCAGCCACCCAGAGTTCTGACCTCAGGCACCGCCCCAAGAAACCTGGGGTGCTCAGCAGGGAAGGGCTGAGTGCCACAGTCGCTGCCCTGCCCCCCCCCGTCCCCCCCGGTGGACTTGCGCCACCCTGCCCCGCCCTGGCGCACGGCGCAGACTCCCAGGCGGACTTACGAAGTTCTCCCACTTTCAGGATCTCACACAGCATCTTGGTCAGCTCGATGCTGCTGCGGCCAAAGGGACACTCATGCTTGTCTTCTCTGCAGCTGTTCTCTAGGACGATCTGGAGGGGGGGAACAGAGGCGTCAGCAAGGGGGCTCGAGGTTGCACTGTACTGCCCCCGGAGGGGGCAGGGGGAGGCACAAAGCTGAACCTCCCTTCAAGGAGCCCAGGCTCTGGAGGTCTGGCCTCAGGGGCCTTCAGCCCCCACAGAGCACTGGGAGCATCGGGCCTAGCCAGGCAGAGCCTGTCTGCAGTGTGTACTGGGGTCATCTTTCATGACGGTGGGTTTTCTTATCCTAGGTCGCCATATTACCCGCGGCCCTGGACAGCTGCCTGCAAAGGGACCGGTGGGGCGAGGTTGCGTTCTGGAGGAGAAGGAGGCTCCACATTGACACAAACCCCTCGTTCTCTCCAAATGACTGAACAATCTGAGTGTGTCCAGAAAAAGAAATCCACGGCTTTGATGCCTCCTAGCTATGCCCGGGAGCTACTCTATTGGTCCAAATGGAAAGTGAAACGGGGCTGGGGCAAGCTGCTGTGATCAGGGCAGGATCCCAAATGAAGAACAATGTAAGGGCGAAGAGCTTTGAAATAAAAGAGAAAGGAGAAGGAAGGAGAAGATGGAGGGCAGAGGAGAGGGAAGAAGAAGAGGAGGGAAAGGAGAGGGGGAAGGGGAGGAGAAGAAAGGAGGAGAGCGAGGCTGATGCGGGGACTCTTCCTTGAGGCTGTAACCAGAAGAGGAAAGTTTTTCCCAAAGCTGTACTCTCCTGCGATCGGGGGTCGGGTGGGGGGGAGCTCGGCCCCCTCTGCCCTTCAGGCCCATCTTACTCGCCCTTTACCACAGGCTAGCTCCCACTGATGACCCTCTACTTGCAGACTCCAAGGACGCAGTTCTTAGGAGACTCAGTGAATTTCCACGCATTGCTCTCCCACAGCGACACCCAGGAGCCTAACTCAATAAAGCAGCCGCGGCTCCGGGCAGCAGGTGGGCGACCAGACGGGGAAGCAGCGAGGCTCCTGTCTGGGCCGCCGGTGGGCTCCATAGGAGGACCCTCGCTTGCATTTCACATGAACGGTACGTTAACATTTCATGAGCCTATCAATATCTCCTGGCGGGTGGCGGGCGCTCTGCATGCGCGGCAGCTAGACTCCCCTCAGCCAATCAGGGTCGGAGATACATTTCGGGAAGATGGTTTATTAGCAGGCAAGAAACAAAATGCTAATTTAAGTAATCAATATGGAAATCAGCCTCCCAGAGCTCCTCGGTGGCCCATCCATCTTGCGCTGGTTACCTCCAGGAGGGAAATAAAGCAGCCAGTGGGGATCCTTCTGGCAGCCCTCACCAAGGCACGTGGGCAGCTGAGGGCCAGCCAGGACCTCGGGGACAGGCATCAAGGGGACAGGCCTGCGGGTCCTTGGTCACTGGTCAGGTACAAAGGGGAGCTCGCTCCTCCGCGGGCCAAGAGCCTCGTCTTTTCCTCCTTCATTCAAGACATTAAAAAGTCTGCAAAGCTCTTTGCTATTGGAGAATGAACGACATCCAGCAGAGACAAAAGAACGCCCGCGGGCAGCATCTTCTTTGAAATTTCTCGTGGATCTCAGGTTCTAAAGCGGACAAGCCTCCAGCATGGCAACGATTCAGCCCAGCATCGAGTATGCATCAACCGGGGGGGGGGGGGGGGGGCCAAGAATGCCACTTTCACTAGTGTCTGGGACGCTAGGGGGCACCATACTGCACGAAGCGCCGGCCCGGGGTCAGGAAGACTCATCTTTGTGAGTTCAAATCCAGCCTCAGACACTTCCTAGCTGGTTGACCCTGGGCAAGTCACTTCACCTTGTTTGCCTCAGTTTCCCTAGCTGTAGAATGAGCAGGAGAAGGAAATGGCAAACCACTCCAGTGTCTTTGCAAAGAAAACCCCAAATTGGGTCATGGAGAGTCAGACACAAATGAAAATGACTGAACCACAACTCATGTCAGGGCCATGAAAGCTAGTATCAATTGCCTCTAATCCCACTCAGCTTGATCTCTAAAAATAACAACCCCCTTCAAATAAATTAACAAAATAATTGAGCAAAGCTCAAAGCCTGAGCCTCCCCAAATGGATCTCTTCAATCTATCAACAAGCATTTATTAAGCACTTGCTGTTTGCGGGGCACTGTGCTTGGAATTAGGGTCAGAGTCAGAATCAGAGCCAGCTCTAGCCCTCACGTATGTCAGGCATACAAAGGAGGCTCAAACGGTCCCTGTTCTCGAGGAGCTCACGGTCTGTCGGGGGAGACAATGTGGACATAATGAGGTGCACAGAAATGACAAATGAAAAACAGAAGGACACTGGAGGAGAAGGCATGCATGGTGGGGGGACTGGGAAAGGTCTCCTGAAGAGGCCTGGGGAGGAGGGAGGGCGTATGTGAGCAATGAAGTCACCCCTGACCTTCCAGATGCTTTTAGCCTCTCTCCCACAGCCTCGCACAGCATCCTGCACACAGTAAGCATCTAATAAGCATACTCCAGTCCTTTCATGTTAGTGCTGCTTCTCTCCAAATCCTCCACCAGTACTGTGAGTGTACCTTGGGAGGCAGAGCCCCAAACAGGTATTTAGGCACATTCTGCCCATTGACGGAATGATGAGCATCCCGAGGGGATGACTCCATTTCCCCTGAGCGCTCAGCCTCCTGGTGCCACCTTTACTTGGGTAAAGTTGGGCCACTGTAGACTTCACACTCAGCTTGTACTCCTTAGGTAACATCTGGGGATGCTGCACCTGAAGAAGGAAAATGGGCTGGAGGAAATGCAGAGAGTTGTCCTCACCTATTTTAAGGGCTGGCCCGGGGAAGGCAATGTGACCTGTTCTGCTTGGCCCCAGAGGGCAGAGCCAGAGGCTGTGACTCTAACTGGAGATGTGATGAGGTAGTGAATATGTGAGTAAAGTAAAGGGACTGATAGGAAATGAAACAATATAATGAAATTGAGATACAGAAGAGAGACACAGAGACATAGAGAGATGGAGAGAGATAAAAAGAGAGAGGGGACAAGGAGGTGGAGAGATGGAGAAAAAAAGAGGGAGACGAAAAGAGAGACAGAGACAGAGACACAGATCATGCTTGCAAGAAGCACCAGGATTTGGGTGCCCCAGTACAGACACCCAGAGAAGGGCATGAGGGCTCCCGGGGAGAATTTCTCTACACTGGAAGCAACCTTTGCTGGGGAAAATCCCACGGACAGCAAGCGCAAAGGGGGAGTCATCATGGTGGAACTTACCAACCCAAAGATGCTTCTGAGGAAGGAATTCATGAGTGTGAATAAAAGTGAAGGTGGGGGAGGCACCCCAGGAGGCCAGTGAGATTAAAAGAGAGGATTAAAAAGGCAAAGAGATCAGAGATTTCATTGTGCATGGGAATTCAGCAGCTGCCTGGTGCGAGCTTCTCATCTTCCCTGTAATGAGTGTATTTAGGAGAACCCCTCAAAGAGCTGGGGCTGAGGCCACCCCCAGCCTGCCTGGAGCTGGGCTTTTCCTCCAACACCTTCCTCCTGGCTCCTGGTGCTGGCTCACTTTTGTAAGACTTGGTGCTTGGGAATCAAGGAGCAAACCTGTATGATCCCTTGGTCATTGGGCATGAGGGACTCACTCTTGCGTCTGAGGCACATCTGGGCTGACCAGGGCTTGTCCACTGTGACACTGGCCCTGGGCACTAGGCTACAGCCCAAAATTCAGACTTGGGGCTCCATCACATGACTGGATAAAGGGGTGCCCCTACCACCTTTAGAGAAATTTAGCAAGGAACGATGCTGGAACAAAGGGCTTTCCCTGGCATCACTCCAAAGGGGGAAAGTGTCACCAGCTCCCTTGGGAGCTCTGAAGTCCCCTTAAAGGCCACGAAGCATTGGTGCCTGGTTAAGCACCGCCATGATTCTTCACTGTGGAATTAATGGGATGGGGATCTCAGTGACCTTGGCACCAAAGGTAGGTACTGGCAAGGGTTTGGCCACCTGTGTGGTGAGGAGCCTCATGCCAGATGTCTGAGGACCAGCCCAGCTCAGGGGCAGACACTCATCCCCAGGGGGGAAGGGTCTTTTGGCCATAGTCACCTTTCAAGGCTTAGGAAGCCTGCTATGTTATAGAAGAGTGGGACCTCTGTCAGCCCAAATGAACAAGATTATCAGCCTCAACAGATGGAAATAAGCACCTAATTATACAGAAAAACAAGTCACTGGAAAGTGAACTCCTGTAGTTGAATCCTCAGACTTCCACCATAAAACGAGGCATATTCTATCCTAGGGGAAAATGGCCCCAGATACAATACAGCTCACTGGGGAAACCCATCTACTGACAGGGAACCTCAGTGCTAATGAATGAGTCACAAAGAATATATTCCACATTAAGACAATAACAAATATGGCATCGGCAGAGAAGACTGCTGGGGGGGATGGTGGGGTTGGTGTTCTCCCCACCCCTCGGGGGTCTCAGCTTCTGCCCACCACAGACCAGCGCCATTCTGGCTGTCTCAAGCTGAGCTGGCTTCCAACATCTGAAAGGGTGTTGGGGGGAAGATGAATCAGACTCTGGGGATCCCAAGATCTTAAATTTAGAATTGAAAGAGATGTGGCCCCTTCGCTCTGAAGCTCTGCCGAGCTAAGTGACTTGACCAAAGTCACCCAAGCAGCAGGTATCAGAGTGGGGATTTGAACTCGGGTCCAAACTCCCAATCTCCAGCCTCTTTTACTGGGCCGGGCTTGGCCCCAAAGAAGCCAGAATGAGGAGCGACAGGTCCTGGTGAACTCACTAGGTGGTGTCTGAGATTCGGGGAGGTTTCAGGGAAGTACATTTCAGCCCAATCCGAAGGAAAACGTAACGATTACAGCTGAATTAGAGTAATCATAATAACAGCAACTGCAACATTTATTTTGTACTTTCAGGTTCTTTGGAGCACTTTTTATACATTTTCTCTTGTGATCCTCAAAAGAAGAAATTGTTTTCTTGGGAGGTAGTGAGCTCCCAGGCACTGGAGGGCTGCAAGTGGAGACCTGGATGACTGCTTCTCAGGGCTCATCAGAGGCCAGATCGAGAGCTGAAAAGGACCCTAGATGCCATCTGGTCCATTTCTCTCCTTTGACAGATGAGGAAACCAAAGCACAGAATGTCTTAGTGACCTGTCCACATCCCACGAGCGGTAAGTCAGCATTTGAACCAAGGACCTCAGGCTCCAAATCCAGCTCTTTGTCCATTGTACTCCGTGGGGATTCCTGTGGGTTGCACTAGATGGTGTCCAGAGGCCTCGATGGCAAGAGACTGCAGCCTTCCCTGATGTCCGTCTCAGAACCGAAATCTCGACACAGCCTGGAGGTTCTGAAAGAGGTTTGGGCTTGGAGTCAGGAAGTCCTGGGTTCAAATCCTGCCTCAGACACCTCTTAGCTGTGTGACCCTGGGTAAGTCACTCAACCTGTGCCTGCCTCAGTTTCCTCTGCACACATCTGCAACGTGAGCGTGAGACAACACAGTAACCCGTGTTGGTTACAAATTTCACAGTGACCTTGAAACACGAGTCATTCCTATTATTCTCTGTCTCCACGGGAACAAGCAAGAGGCCAGCAGGGAAGGCATATTATCTCATTCAATCTTCACAATAACCTGGGAGGCAGGTGCTACTATTCTGCCCATTTCACAGATGAGGAAACTGAGGCAGACAGAGGCAAGGATGACCCCTGACCTAGGCCTGTCCCTGAGACTCCGGACCTCGGCCAAGGGGAGTCTGACCAGACACCCACAGAGGCTGGGGAAGGTGCTCTCAATTCTCTTGGGCAAACAAACAAAGCCACATCCAGAATGGCCTCGCAGGCTCTGTAAACTGAACTAGGCTTGAGATCATCCAGATCACCCGCAGCATGTAATCTCAATAAAGAAAGAGAAAATTTAGAGCCAGAGATAAATGCACAAATAGATGGAAAGACAGATGAATGGAGAGAAATTAAATGAACAAGGAAATGAACAAGTAGATAGCCAGGTAAATTAATCTATAGGTAAATAAACCTATAAATGAATAAATAAATGAGCAGACAGATAAAGGAATGGATGGGTGACTAAGCAAATAAATAAATAGATGAACAAATGAATCAATGATGAGGGTGAGCCTGGAAGCCGCCTCCGGCAAGATTCCGGGGACAGGAGGAGGAGAGAACGCATCGGTGCCAGGAGAACAAAGAATGATCTGCCACAAAGCTTTATGCCCATCATTTACTTCGTCATTAACTTTAATTACACGCTATGAACTGTCCTGTAATTATGGAGCTTGGGGCACTGCCAATTTCCCCTCTGGCGTGTGCAAAGTTGGGTGAATTAGTGCAAAGCTTCAGCCGCCCCTCCCCCCTGTCCCTCAGCAGCTCTCTGGGCACAGAGTTCCCATTTCATGCCCACAGCACGGGCTGAGTGGACAGCCTGGACGCACCGAGAGCCCTTCCCGAGGGGCGGACCACCCAGGCTTCATTACAGGCCTAACATGAGCCGTTCTACTCATTTCTGGCAAGGTCCGACACCATTTCCCTTTTCTGAGTCCCTCCCTGGCCAGGGGAGCCGGGCAGGAAGGGAGACCAGGATCTCCTCTCTGCTCTGCCCAGGGTGAGAGCTGGAGCAGAGAATTCAGAGTCTGTGGGTCCCCCCTGCTCCCCACTGGAAACAAACCACCCACTCATCCTATGGAAAATTTTCCTTCTTATGTGCTCCTTGGCCCCAAAACCCTTCAGGAAAAAACTGTCCTCAGTCAATCCACAGGTGCTGATGGCTGCCACACTACGAAGAGCTTCCACAGTGAGGGGCAGCGTGGGGCTAGAGTGGCCTGGCACCGAAGTGGCCTCTGACCCACTGGCTGAGTGACCCTGGACAGTCTGGGCAACCTCTCTGTGCCTCAGGGAACATCCTCAAAAGATGAGTTCTAAAGAGACCAATGACATCACAGGCCTGGTCCCTAGGGGTGGGAGGGGATGGAAGGGAAACCAGCCCTGCCCTCCCTGAGCGTCCACTCTACTGGCTCCTGTGCCCCCCTCTGCCTCCTGGCTGCCTTCAAGTCCCAGTTGAAATCCCACTTTCTCCAGGAAGCCTTCCCCACCCCTACCCCCTTAATTCCACAACCTCCTCTCTGTTCCTTATTTCCTATGTATCCTGTAGCTTGCTGGTACATATTTGTTTGCATGTGTCCTCCCTCCTTAGACTGCAAGCTCCCTGAAGGCAGACACTGTCTGTCCTCTTTTTGTATGCACAGTGCCTGGCACACAGTAGGTGCTTAATAAATGTTAATTGATTGATTAGCATTCTCACAACCAATGCACGGGGCAGAGAAGGGTCCAGAAAGGCTGGGTGGACAGGCGCAAGCCACGCACTGCTAGTAAGCAGTCTTCCTGACTCCAGGGCCAGTGACCTAACCACTGCCACATGCTGCCTCTCTGCAGAAAGGCCAACGAGGAGTCAGCAGGACCTGGGTTATTCCAGCAAAGAGAAGCCCGGGGCTGCAGCTGTGGCTGCCCCATGGAGAGAGACGGCAGGGAATAAACAGAAAACCAGCCTTTCCGGCCCAGCTCCTCACTACTGACCAGCCTTTGTAACAATGTATAGAAGGGCTCACTGGCTCCCTCCCTCGGTGGGAGTGTGCCAGCCCCACCTTCCTCCTCCTCCTCCTCCCCCTCCCCTTCCTCCTCCTCCCTCCTCCTCCCCCCCCCTCCCTCCTCCTCCCCTTCTTCCTCCCTCCTCCTCCTCCTCTTCCTCCTCCTCCCTCCTGCTTCTCCTCCCTTCAACCAGGAAAACCGGCTTTGCCTTCTCTTAGTAGGGGCAGCTGGGAACACAGCTTCTCTCCAAAGATGGAGAAGGAGAGATAAGCCGGGCTTTGGCAGCCACATTCTGCAACGAACCGTAAGATGAAGGCATCACACACACACACACACACACACACACACACACACACACACACGCTTACGCACCATTGAAGGGTGGCCTAATTCAATTATGACCGCTCTCTATATCAGGGCCAAAGGATGAGCACTAGTTAAAATATCTCCTAATAGTCTAAATTACGGTGCCCAGTAAGGATTTTTTAAATTGTTAAGTCAGCCTCTAAAACTCTGTTTGTAACAAAATGTTCAGAGTAATGCTGTTTGTTTTAGCAAATTGACTGACTGGGAGCACTAATGGGGGCAGTGTCTTATCTTTCCCACGCCAGAGCCCTCGGCAGATGGCGTAAACAAGCGGATGGGCAGGCCTCAACGACTGCATTAGATGCCGTCACATTGTCCAAAAAGGGAGAGAAAGCCCAAGTAACAGAGCCGGGGTGACCTCCACACTGGAGAGGTGGGACCATTGGCATCTGGCGTTCTGGGGCTGGTACTCTCTATTTTTTTGTTTCCTTGTGTTTTGTGGGAGTCCCCAGGGAAGTTGTGTGTGTTGGGTCATACTCCAAGGCCACTGAAGGACCCGGTGGCGATAACTCTGGGTGATGAAACCAACAAAAGCCATGTCCTGGACCCCTCCCCCACGCCCCACCAACCACCACGTTCTCAGGCACGCCAAGGTCAGACATCTCCACGTGCCACAGCAAAACATGCTTAGTTTGCCAGGTGCTCTTTGGGATGGAGGGTCTCTGCTGAGCTCTTCCTTCAGTCCTAGCTCAGGACGGCCGAGTCGTCTTTGAGCCGGCTTAGCTCTGCCCACCCGTCAGCCCCCTCTGAAGCTTGATGATATGGCTGCCTGAGAAAGCCAGAGACCCCGCACGCGGGGTGGGAAGTGGTTCAGAGGAGGAGTGTGCAAGCTAGGGGAGGAGGTGGCGGGCCCCAGACCAGGCCGATAGACAGCGCCTGCTCCAAGACCCACGTGTTGATGTGATGGCCACGCCTCGAGAAGCCAGGACTTCTGCCTAGACTGAAGACCATGAAACAGACACTTGCGTGGGGGCGGGAAGGCCCCTTAGAAAGAGCTTGGACATGATTCCCAACATCCCTTAGGATAGATGGAGAGATTCTGGTCTCTACTTAGTCTAACTATTAAGAGCCAGTCACGAGGCTCTTTCTCACGGAGACCAGGAGAAAAAGAACTCTTCACAAAGCCATGCAAAGAAAAGAAGCTTCTTCAAAGCAGGGACGGTTTTGTTTCCAGTCTCTGTACCCCCAGCACCTCCCACGTAGCAGGCACTCAATAGAGCTTTAATAGTATGTTCAATAACTATTATTTGATCTAGGTAAATTCTATCCAACATTTGTGCATTTTAAACACTCTCTTTATTCTAAGGAATAACTGACAAGTAGCAAAGACATTTCTGACCAAAACCTCTGAATTCTTGATTCTGAGGACAGTTTCTCAAATACCCCAGTCATGTTGTCAGAACAACGGAAGAAATGCCACAGGAAACCCAAAGGTGGGGAAGGGGCCAGGGCACTTACCCGGATATACGCATCTTGGTGGTGTTTGGCAAAGTACAGCATATTGTCCAGGGCCAACATTCCCGGGGGAGTCTGGGTGAAGTCCATGGCTGGGTTCACATGGTTCTGTGGAAAGACAAGGAGGGTGACATGTCAGCAGCCTTGCCCAGCAACATGATGCCCCCTTCTAAAGGGCCGTCAGGGCCCAGATGAACTGGCTCACCTCAAGAGACCCACTGATTCCTCCCCTTGAGTGCCACAGTGACCCCTGGGAGGTAAGGCTCCTTCTGGAGGAAGGAGAAGGTCTAAAATGGACCATACTCAGAAATCCTTGGGGGTCTTAATTTCTTATATTCAGAGAAACTCAATCTCTACTCCATAGGTTGGACAACTGGGTGAACTACCAAAACCAAAGCAATGCGATGTAACCAAATAAACACTTTGAGTGCCTACTGTATACAAAGTACTATATTCCAGGGATACAGAGGAGAAAAAAAAAACATGGCAGAGTCTTTGTCCTCAAGGAACTTATGCTCTACCAGAGGCACAATATATGAGAGAGTACAGTAGGACAAGAGAACAGAAAAGGAAAGGTCCAGAAGCCGCTGTCAGTTAGGCTTCTGAGATCCCCTAGAGCAGGCTGAGAACTGAGACCTCAGCATGGTGGCCGGCCATTGTCCAGCACCCCCCAGCCTGCACAGAAGGACTCACAAACAAAACTGCGAAGAAGCAGTCCTAGTGGGGGGACCGAAGAAATGAGAAAATGCAATCACAATGATAAAATACGATGGTTTAAGACAACCCTGGGATAACATTCCAGATTAGGAGAAGAGAGCATAGGATCATAGGATCAGGGGTGAGGGGACAGAAGGGGCCTTACAGGCCATCAAGTTCAACTCCTTTGTAAGATGAGGAAACTGAGGCACAGAGAAGGTAACCCAGGGATACACAGCTATCTGAAACAGGATTCGAATGCCCACCTTGACTCCAAGTTCAGTGCTCCAGACTCTCCCACACTGGCTCTCCCACACTACTCTTCCTAAATTACAAGCAGAACCTTAGAAAACAGACTATATTGGTCTTAAGGACCAAGAGTAAATGGAAAGCCTGCTTAAATAAAATAAGGAAAAGATAAACTGTCAAAGTAGACCTTTTAAGGAAAATTTGGACGGATAATAAAAAATTTAGAATAGAAACTGGAAAATCTTACCAAAGTAGTAGACACTGAAAGAAAAAAAAAACCCAGCATGGTGGAAAAAGAACTAAAAAATGCAACACTATAACAAGACCTATAAAAGCAAAACCAGAAGACTGAAAAGGGGGGTAGAAAACACAACTACATTTACTCTCAAAAAGTACTAAACTAGGAAACAGGATGAGTGCAGATAACTTTAAAATCATTGTGTTGTCCAAGAAAGTATAATGAAACAGAAAGCTTGCATGCACATTCTAAGAAATCACAGAAGAAAACTAACCAAAACTATTAGAACCTGCAGCTGAATTGAAAGAACCTGAAAGAAACTCCAAAGTTAATACTCCCATAAATGTGATTGCCAAACTCCAGAGCTCCTATGTCAAAGAAAAAACACTGCTAGCAACAGACATATTACATGCCAAGGCACCCCATTCAAAATTATATAGGATTGTGCAGTTAATATGAAAAAGGAAAGAGTAGGAAAAAAAATATAAAACAAAAGTAAATCGATGATGTCAAAGTATTCCTGTTCAAAGAACCACAATGAATAGAATTTCTGAAAGAAAAAACAGAAGCCAAAACAAAGCAACAAAGATAAATAGATTGGAGCATCTTGAAAGGTCTAAATGATGATCCACTGCTCAAGTCCTGAAGGGAGGGGGGGGAAGGAGACTGCTGCAGCGGACACTCCCCATCCCTAAGGGTAAGTGAAGGAACAAGGACAGGCCTGGGCAGGGTCTGGGTGCTGAGACTCAGCAAGGAAGGAACAGAGGAAAGAGGCCAGGACAGCCTCTGAGCCACGCAGAGACACCAGAGGGGGACTTCACAGAGGAGAAACAGAAACAGTACATATGGCCGACTTTAATTTCCCTTCTGTCAGAAGACTAAATAATGTAATTTCACAGGGTCTCTTTGAAGAAGCGCCTGGTAATTATCGCTAGCCCCGATGCTTCCGTGGATGGATCAGCCTGCAGAGGAGCATCTTTTGTAGAGACATAAAATGCAGATAGAGGCACTGTTTTCCGGGGCAGATTCAATCTATACTCTTGCTTCAGGCAAGAAAAAGTGGAGATGTAAGAATGCTGTTCCTTCCTAATGACCAGTTGTAATAGTGGCATTTCTATAGCACCTACTATGTGCCAGGCTGTGTGCTAGTCCCTTTATAATTACTATCTCACTTGATCCTCACAACAACCCTACCAGGGAGGTCCTATTATTATCCTCATTTTACAGATGGGGAAACTGAGGCAGCGACTCGGCCAGGCTCACACAGCCATTTCTGAGGCTGAATTGGAACTCCCTATCCACTGCACCACCAGGTTGCCCAACCTTGTGTTTTTTTCTCTCTGTTAGGTTCTGACTACACAGGAGTCAGATAGAAGCTTTCCTGGAATCATCAGTATTAAGAAGACTGGCTGGGATTTGGGGAGGGAGCATTCATTCAGAAGGCCCAGTGGGGAGGGGACAGGCGGCATCGTCCCTAGTGTCTTTGCCTTTTTCTTTGTAATACTGTCCCAACATCTACCAGGAAACCCTGGTGCACGTCCGAGCATCTTGTGCTTTGGGCCCCGGCTGAGGCCAGGGAGCTGACTCGGTTCTGTCTCCCGTTATGCAGGAGAAGTTAGAGGCCCAGATTTATTTTCCTTTCTCATTTTTTTCAGTTGTTGTTCTACCTGCCTCGAAATCAGAACTGGCAGAGCTTTGATGAATCGCTAGGAATTTTCCTTTCTCCCACCAGGACGTCCACGTGCCTCGGTTCGGCCTTCGAAACACCATTTGTAACTTTGTGCAGAGGAGTTCCTCAGTGAATAATGTCAGACAGCTCTTCCCTCCCAGTTACAGAGGATGGCTATTTCTCTTTTCCAAGGACACATGTTTAACTTTCAGAAGAGTGCTGCCAATGCATTAAGGAAGGAAAGAAAGCCACTGGAGAGCTGTGGCCAGAGCCTGGCATTTCACTTTGAGTTCCCTTGCTGGGCTTTGCCGCGTCCTCATTCTGACACCTCCAGATGTCGGGCTTTTATACCACGAGTCCCCCAGAGCTGAGCTGTGGTTTTACTTGGCCCTGTCCATGCTCCAGAAACCATGATGCAGAAATAGTTTTGTGATCGCCTCCCCACCAAAGGCCGCCATCTTGTGTCGTCTTTGTCCACCAACCTTCCCAATGTGTGGGAGGCCTTTCTTTACTAAGTCTTTCAAGGAAACCAGTGAAATGCTGGGGTTGGCTGCCTATCCCCCCCCCCACTCCTCATTATATGACCTGCCCATTTCCCTTTCTTATCATTGTGTCCATTTTGATGTCTTTTATCCCTCTTATTGTACCGTGTCTTTTTCCATGACCTCTGGGGCCACCTGCAAAGATATTTCTCCAGAGATGGGAAGCTTCTTCATTTGTGGCATACATCGTTAAGAAGGCAGGATTTTGTTTTAGGGAGCAGGTGATGCTCACTGGCAGCCCTACATTCTCCTCAATGCTAGCCAGCCCCCTTTCTCCTGTTCAATTCTCTGTCCGGCTCACGTGCACCTGGAGTGTCTGCCCAAGGTGATTCAGGGACTGGTCATGTAACTGCACAGCACAGTCTAGGCACACACACTCGTCATCCGCTTTGGGTGTCTGGTGAGGCCTACCTCTGTTGGGAGAGCTCATTCCCCATCACCACTCTAGGCTCCTCACTTCTCAGCCTCAACCTCTGGATGGCCCTCAGATCCAGTCCTCCTGAACACGGCCTCTGGTTGGGGAGCATGTTGCCTCATCTCTGGCCCACCATGTTGCTTCCCCATCTCACTTGCTTGTACCCATATCCCCTGCACTTAGCACTTGCCTGACAAATAGTAAGTGCTTAATAAATGCCTTTCAATCAAGTATTCACTAAACACAACAGGAGCTTTAAAACGTTTGTGGAATGGCATGGATTTTAGGAGACTTTAATGTATTCTGGGACCTGATGCAATCCACAGAACAGTCTCTCATGTGTAGGGTCTCTCTGCTTCATTTGGATTCTATGCTCAGACATCTGCCATGGCTGTGGCAAGGAACCTGACCTAGTGTCCTGCTGGCTGGGGATCATCCACAGGCAGGTAAGCAGGAGGGTGATGGCCTTGAGTATCTGCCAGAGGAGAGCTGGTGAGGGACCAAGGCTTCTCAGTCTGGAGAAGAGAAGAAAGGGAAGAGGTCTTCAAGAGTGGGAAGGATTGTGGAGAAGAAAGGATAGAAGGAAGCCGTAGTGGGTACAAGTAGCAAAGAGAGAGATTCAGGTTTTACAGAAAGAAATACATCCTGACAAGTGCATCCATGCCCAGAGCAGAAGAGGCTGCTATGGGAGACAGGAGGCTCCTTCCTTGTCACTGGAGGTCTTCAAACAAAGGCTGGATGGCCATCTTGGGAAGGGGGTAGACACCAGCATTGTTGGTCAGCTGGAGATGGGCCTATGGAGCCTCTGGGGGTTCCTCCACCTCTCAGATTCTGCCTCCAAAAGGACCCTTTGTAGCTCTAGAGTGCAATGAATACCACGTTCCCAACACCCATAGCTCACATATGTGGAAACTGAGACCTAAGTGATTTGCCCAAGGTCACACAAGTAGAAGTGAGATTAGAACTCAGGTGCTCTAATTCCAAAGTCAAGTCAAGTCCAAAGTGCTTTTTATCTACAGGGAAAGACACTGGGGGATAACCTTGCTGAAGTCTCATCTCCAACATGTACTGTCATGACACACAGACCTTCATAATAATTATTATTATTGGTATCGTTAGCAATTATTTTTAGTATAGCTAGTGTTTACCTCGTGCTCTAAGGTTTACAAAGCACATGACTTGGGTCATCTCATCGGATCCACACGACAGCCTGGAGAAGGAGAGGGGGGAGCAGAAGCCCAGCTAGGGGAGTGGACTTCTCCTGGAAGTCCCTCTAAACACGTGTGGTCAGCTAAGCTG